AAGCGGCTTTGTCTAATCTATACCTGCAGAGATACTCGTGTCCTCAGGATGAGCCTGTCTCCTTGCAGCCTTTTCACATAGAGGACGAGCTGGAGGACAGTCTGGTCACCGAGCACGGTCACTCGCTCAGCTCCCACTGGGACAGGTATGTCACACACGAGCCTCTCAGACTTACCAACACCCAGAGTTCAAGCTTTTCTCTCCCGATGATGGCATTTGTTCCAGTTCCAGTGTTGCTGACACAGATCTGTGACCGTTTTGAAAACACTCTTGATCTTTTATAAAGAATGCAATCTATATAGCTGAGCAAACTTAATTTTGATTTCATAAATTAAATGTAAAGTTTCAAATAAAGTACAATTCACATTCCTACCATGTTTAATAATTACTCTAGTGCATGTATTATAAATGAAATGTTTAAAAATATATATTTCTAGCACCTTGTTACAAAAATTATTTTAAAAAATTAAATAAGAAGAAATTTTAAATCATTTAGACACTACTGTTCAAAAGTAGCATTTTTAAAAATATTTTCCAAAGAAGCTATATATTTAATCAGAAGTACAGTAAAAACAGTAGGGTTTATGAAATATTATTACAGTTTAAAATTGTGAAAAATGTAAATGATATTTTAATGTTATTTACTTCTGTGGTGGCAAAGCTGAATTTTCTGTATGATAATGGCGATTATGTTCTACAGCAACCGTTCCACTGTCACTCAATGTTGCTTCTTGGCAACAAACATATTTCTCATAATAAAAAAAATTTAGATGACTTTGATATGAAGATTACTCACTAACAAATGTGTATATTATTTCTTTCTGAGGCTCGCCAAAAAGGGGAAAAAATGCGTTCTCCAAATTATGTACAGTACAAAGCCCAAAAATATGTTAAAATGTATACCAGGACATATTATGACCAAGATAAAGCTTTTATCGGTTTGTTGTGTTTTTTTGTTATTATTAAGCATTTTACCATCATATATGTGTTAAGCAAAGAAATGGGTTTGTTACCCTGTGGGTGCAATGTGCAATACTTTTAAAAGAACATAAAAAAAAGAAACAAACAAAACTTTTGTGGACCCAATAAAATGCAGCACTTGAGTACTAGAGCATAGTGAAACCAAGGGGGGAAAAAAAGAGTTTTAAGTTTTGGAGAACAAATTAAAGTCTGCATTCGTTCTTTGATACTTCTTCAGTGATGAAAGTTTGATCGTTAAAGTTTGTGGATACATAAACGTTAGAAGAGTGAAATCAAGGGTCATGTAAAAGACAGTTTACACAGATGGTACTGAAATGCCCCGAGGACCTATCGATGACGTAGAATGCTGTTCAAATAGAAACATATTAAACCCTGCATAATTATATCTGATAGCGGACTCTGTGACAACTTAATAAGAATGTCATTGTTGTCCTCTATGTGGCCATATGGGCTCATCTGCAGCCAGCAGTGGGAGGTGAACAAGCTTGTTAGCTGACACCAAAGATCAGCAACAGAAATTAACTTTTGAAATGTTCAATTATTTTGACCAAGTGTATAAATGCGGCTGTTGAAAAGAAATGAATGTCTATGCCACAGATGGTCTTCATTACCACCAGTTTGACTCTTTTCTTTGTTTGCGAACATAAAATTTGTGCTTAAAGTAATGCAATTCCATTGGTCTGGACAGAAGTTAAAATATTTGATAGCATAGACAAGCTCGATTAATTTGATCACATTAGTCAACACCAAGCTTGTGTTAACTGTTGGTCGATAAAAATGTTCACCAAGTAAAAGGTTTTCTACTTTTATATTTTTCAACCTATAATTTATTCCTGTGATGCAAAGCTGAATTTTTAGCATCATTACTCCAGTCTTCAGTGTCACACGATCCTTTAGAAATTATTTGATGCCCAAAAAACGATGTCGAAGTCAGTTGTGCTGCCTAATATTTTTTGTGGAAAACATGATACAATTGTTTCAGGATTCTTTGATGAATAGAAAGTAAAAAAAAAAAAAAGCTTTTATGTGACAGAGAAATCTTTTACTGTCTTTACTGTCACTTTTGATCAATTTAAGGTGTCTTTGCTAAATAAAAGTATTAATTTTATTCTTAGTGACCGCAAACTTTTGAACAGTACTGTGTTCTTTTATGTATTTTTAATGTTAATCCAGTAAATAAATACACAAAAGTATATAAAAAAAAAGTATAGTTTGCAAATCTTATTTAATAATGCTTGTTTTAATAAAAGTTATTAATATAAAATGTTTTAATTTTTTATTGTTTATGCTGGTGGTACAGTTCCTTACATTATAAAACTTAATGTTTTATAAAAAAACTTAGTCAATTAATGCAATTTAAAAAAAAAAACTGGAAAAAGAGATTGAAGTGTTTTTAATCTAAAACATTCTTTTAAATAACGCTCTGACTAATTGCCAATATGCACCTCATTGTAAATTGTAAAAAATGTTCATGTGTGCTAAAACTCTGTATGCACTTTTTTTCCCAGGTATGATGGGAGTCTGTCATCAGATGCTTATTGGCCGCAGCAGGAGCAGTGCGGCTGCATGCAGAGCGTCTCTGAACTGGGAGAGGCGGAAGACGATGAAGTTCAAAGAGATCCTCGAGCGAGTTCAGCGGCCCACATCGAGGAGGCTCAGGTAGACCCTCGCAAATACTCCCACAGCAGCTCCGCAGAGCGCTTCCTGGAGCAGTCCCACTCGTCTCTGGACTGCGGCCGCTCCTGCGATTACAAAGTGGGCTCTCCGTCCTACCTGGATAAGATTGCGTGGCGGGAAGGGAAGCCGCAGCACTACTCTGAACCCAAGCTAATACTGGACCTGTCTCACTGGAGGCAGAACAACATGTCTGCTCCAAGAGGGGGCAGCGTGGAGAAGCTTCTCACCGAGCCTGGAGATCTGTTCCAGGAGATCTCGCGCTGGGTGGAGAGCACGCAGTCTGGGCTCCACTCGCCCGGTTCTCCTCAAGAAGCTCTCACCTCCCCGTGTTCCCCTCCTCAGCCACTGTCTCCTACAATGCTGCCTCATTCTCACATGCAAATCCCAGCGGATTTGCAACTGTCCAGCCCTCACGACAGCAGTAGGAGTCCTAACCCGTTCTTCACCGCTCCTCCGTCTCTGCTGCCCACTTCTCCTTCCTCGCCTTATCACGGTTCATCAAATTACCCGTCTTCCTCCATACGTTGTGAAAACAATGAAGAGCCCTCACAGATGGATCCTTCCGGGGAAGAACATTTTGGCCTGGACGTGTTTATCTCTCAGGCTCTGAGGCTGTGTAGTCAGAGCGAGGTACTGGCGGAGAACCCGGACGCTCCCAAATCGGGCAGCATTAGTCATGTTCGCAACGTCTCAGATCACAGACCCTCCAGAACACAAACTCCAACGCCTGAGATGGTCAAGGCTCATGGGTGTCATAAAGAGCACTGGTAGAGGAGATCTTTGACTTTTTAATTATTTTGCTTTTAGTGCAACTTAAGGTGGAATGAATCGATGTGAATACCGCGGACCTTTTGAGGGTTTTTTTTTTTTTTTTGGAGAATTTTGATTTATTACCTGAAGCTATGATTCTGTATTCCAGAAGAAATCTGAAGTGTTTACCTCTAGAATGAGGATAACCTGGCAAAACGACATCTGAGATCTCAAATAGGATTTGATTGAAGCCTTGAGGGCACATGATGATGGGAAATCTTTTTTCTTCCCTTATGAAATTTTCTCTCTCGAAAAACCAACAAAAACTTCTGTTCTTCCGAGAAACTTTTGCATTCTCTCAAATTAGTTTTTGCGAGACATCTGTGTGCTCATGTTTGATTCCCCACATTTCTCTGAAATATTCCATTTTAAATCTTTTAGGTGAATAAATTAAAAACTACAATTTAAAACAAAATTTTGTTAGAGAAATTTTGCAAGTTTCTTATGAAAATGTGCAAGTATATTTTTTTCCTCCCAACTAATTTTTCCCATAACTATATCTCTTTAGGCACTCTGTAAATTTAAAACTAAAATGTTTTATTTAATTATAGTGCTGTCAAATGATTAATCGTGATTAACCGCATCCAAAATAAAAGTTTTTGTTTACATAATGTGTGTGTACTGTATATTTATTATGTATATATAAAGACACACATACAGCATATATTTTGAAAATATTTACATGTATATATTTATATTCATATAAATGATATCATATATAAATATATTTAACATATAAACGTAACATATTTTTCTTAAATATATACATGTGTGTATTTATATATATATATATATATATACATAATAAATATACACAGTACACACACTATGTAAACAAAAACTTTTATTTTGGATGCGATTAATCACGATTAATTGTTTGACAGCTACTAAACTTACTAAAAGCACTGAGCAAGAGTGAAGGCTTTATCTTTTAATTTTGTCATTGTCGTTTAATAAATTTAGTCTGCCTCATTTTTTAGTTTATTTATTAAATAATTAATACTCGTGTTACACACTTCTGTTTTTTTCCCATGTTGGCTAAAAAATGGCACTTTTGATAAACGTATTTTAAAAAGTTTTCACTCACAATGAAATAAAGACTCCAGTAATTTCAGTGGACTAGAAAAATATGTTTGATTCCACATAAGGTGGCCACCATGTATATGGGACATTTTGTTGCTGATTTAAAGTATGTTATTTAAATGTGAATTTCGGAAGATATTTCAGTATTGTCCCATTCAAGTTGACTGGGACTTTGGTATAGATTAGTCTGACCCACTCAATCTCAATAACCCCGTCATTGTACATTTTGTCTGAAATATTATTCATGGCTGTCAAATATGTCTTTGCATAGGGTATTTCTACAAATGTTTTTTTTTTTTTTTAATAGATTTCCCCCCATCTTCCACTGGTTGGCCAAACAGATAGTCCCACACCAAACCCGCACCACCGGTTGCTGTGTTGTAAGAAAAAAACTCCACATCTTCAACATTAAAACATCAATCACCAAATTAAAACAGGATATCAGCAGATTGTTATTCTTTGTAATTTTAATTCCCATAATTTAATTAGTTAAAATGCAGACAACTTTCACAAAAAAAGTTCCAAAAAGAAAGGAAACAGCAATACAGTACATATGCAGATATGGGGGGTTTTGTTAAAACTAAAGCCCTGTCTTAAGATGGTACCAGACAGTAACAGCATAGCATTCACATCATGGCAATAGAGACGGCACACAGCAGGCAATCAGCAGGCCAACAGAGGATTGGGCTACATTCTATTTTCAAGTGCAGATAAGAACAAGGAAACTTAATAAATGATATTAGTACACTATAGGAGAATGTCTCTAGGCTGCCAAGAACAATTAAGAAACCTTTTATCAACACACTGGTTGTGGATATGGATGATTTAGTTTCTGTAAGTCTTACATAGCTTACATCTCTTTGTATTTGTCCAATCATAAGATGTCCATCTAAAAACACAGAATGGCTTTGAAGTTTCTGACTGTGATTTAGTATAGTAGTGGTTCACATGCCATTCTTTGAATATGTAACTCAAAACTAACTCTGTGGCCAAACTACTGCAGCCTCATGTTCGGTTACGCAAATACCTGAACGCAGACGCGATTCCTAAATTCAACGCAACTCTCAGCATTGCCGCAAGGGGCGCTACATCGTCCAAATAGCGTCAATTACTTGTGGATCAACTAGTCATGACGCAGCAACAATTTATTAACACAAGTTTATTAACACATTTAGTTTAATGTCAGATACATTTAAAAATTCAATTTAACCGCTCTCTGAATATTGAGGTTTGTTAGCACGAGACCAAAACAAGAGCGCCAAGCGTCTGCGTTTGTGTATTAGCGCAAAGAATGTTTTTTACTGCGCATGTGGAAGATTTCGCAAACCAAACAAACCAATAGCAGAAAGGCAGATTATATTGCCAGGTTGATGCAAAATATCGGATGCAGGTTAGTAAAAAGTTTTACTGAATCTTGCTGTGTCCCTGTCTGACTCTGAACGGTGTTATCGCCACTGCTGGTGGAGGTTTGATTGACCTCATTCTGGCAGCTCAATATTGCATTTCAGGGAAACAAAATTACAAAGTTATTCAGCCTTACTTTTCGAAAAATAATCATGAAAAACTGGTGGAATTTTAACAACTCACAACCACTCGCTCTCACACAAGGGAGAGACATCCCTGGGCAAGAAAAAAAACTATGGCTATATGGAACCAATCCACATTACGGTCCCCTGCCTAAACTTTTTAGACTCTTTTGCAATATAACCATCTTTAAGAAATTGTTCAGTGGTATTCAGCACTGAATTTTCTTAATATAGTTACTGGTACTTCAACATAATCACTGCTCAGGAGCCCAGATTACTCTCCATGTGAGAAGTCACCACCCAGGTAGAACTTATATATGTAGAAAAATATAGTTTAATGAAATTGATATCTATTAATTTCTTTTATTATTATTATTATTTTTTTATCATATCCACCATGTAAAGTTGTGTACTACATATAGCAGGATCATCATGATTCACACTGCTAAACACAAAATGACATGAAACACCTTTGCACAATGCCTGGTTATTTCATATTTAATTTGTGATTAATAGTTAGTTGATTGGCATTTTTAGGCAACTGCAATGAGTTATTCTACAATATGATTACAATGTAAACACCACAGTACTGAAGTTACTGTATCCAACAAACAGTAAAGCACAACAAGGCAAATGGCCATATAAGCATAGATTTGTTCTTGATGAAAAATAAAAACAAAATACACACAAAAAAAGAAAGAAACAGCAACACTTTGCATTGGTTCAAAGCCACACGTTTGTACAGTTTCCAAATCTGGTGACTATCCCGAGGCAGATTACAACAGTGTCTGACAAACATCTAAGCCCAGTTGACCTGATATCACATGGTCATTTGATGTGAGCCTAGCCATTTTTGGACTGAAATCATGAGACTTTTTGGTTTCTTGTGGTGTCAGGGCGGGGCCACAAATAGGTCGTTAAATATTGACCTTTCGACACATTTGTGCCACTGAATCACATACTGACCTGATGTTAAACAAACTCCTCTTCTGATAAAACTCAATGTGATATTAGAACTGAAGGCTGAATCAAGTATCTGTATGCTGATTTGATTTAGGCCTGGCGTCTAACACTGCCTCTCAATACATCATATAGTGGGTAAATCTATGTTTGTGTGTTTGTGCTGGTTTTATGGGTTCACCTTAAGTGATTTTGGCTGTTCCGGCACATACAGGTATTTATATTGGCATCATCCATTGGGTTCTAAGAACATTACATATTATTGCTAGACCGAACTACTAGCATCCTTTATATACTATCCACAATATAGAGATAAACTGATTACTTTAGTTTGGATATTGTTTAGATTGTAATTACAAACACTGTCAAAGAGTATGGCAATTAAATTTGATCGTCACAATCTTTGGCTATTAATCTTCCAAAAAGAGATAAAAAAAAAAAAAATCACCTATTGATATGTATACAAAAGGTGAATTACAGAAAGTTTAAAATGTAATACCTCAGACATGACTCCAAACCAGCTCCTCATTAAACATTTATATCTTTAAATGACGGTGATTTAGTTTTCACTGATATGAGGATCTTTTAGGGTAGGCAATAAGATAATTATTTTTGATATACACTGACAGGATTATGGATGTAGTGTCTTGTCATAGTTAAAATAGTTTTTTCATATTTGATATTTTTCATATGCTTGGAAAGCATATGTTTCATGCAACTACCAAACCTGGTCTAAAGTCTCCTTGAATGTAAAAATATAAGACCACGAAATAAGGCAAAACTAAAAATCTAAAATCTATAGCTGAATATATACACAGCAGAAATTATAGTAGCATACATAGTTCAAAATATGATTTAGTCTTCACACCTCTTGTGTTTTTAAAAAGGTGTGAATGGTAAAAATAAATACAACAATAAAAGAACAGGGAATTCTTACACATTAACCACTACAAAAATGATGCATCTTATAATATTTCATGTATTATGAGAGAGCACAGTTTTGTCACTTGTCTTTTATGTGGCATAGAGGGTTGACTGAGGTATGATTTTAGCAATGCAGCTAATGTAGGTTTTAAACAGCAGGATGCTTCTCAGTGTTGTTTATGTAGAAGTTTGATGTTTCAGCGAATGGGAATAAAGGTGCGATTACAGCACACCACACATCATACATTTGAAAACATTACATTTAGAGGCCCAAGAGTAGTTAGTAGCTATATTTTGTGCCAATGTACTGTGAATTGTGCCATAAAACCAGTTTTCTAGTCCCATTCTTCATGTACTGATATCGTTTGCGATATTGCCAATTGTTCTCCATCTGTTTACTCCCTTGAACATGTAGGACCACAAATGTATGAGAGCTATTTTTTGGAACTTTGAAAATGTACCATTTGAAATCACGAGTCAAATATTTTGCGGTTTATGGTAACATGTCAACAAAACCATATAAAAATGAAACGGAAATAAATACTCTTGACAAGATTAAGGATATTTAAGTTAAAGGATTCTGGATGCTTTTCCAGGCAGCATTTGAAGACTCTCCCCACCCTCTGGCTGTCCCCTTATATCTTGATTTTTTTTTTTCTGTCTGTGTCTCGGTTTTATTTTTCCTGTCATTACCTTCCTATACCTCCCTCTCTTCCTCATTTTCCATCTCAAACGTAAGGCAGTATGCCGTAGACAAACAGGGCCATGACAGCAGCGCTGAAGAGGCCTGCTATAGGGACGGTCACAAACCAGGCCAGGAAGATGTTCCGGAAGAGATGCCAGTCCACAGCCTTCTTGGAGCGGATCCAGCCCACCGCCACCACTGAGCCCACCTGCACCAACAGCAAAGGCTAAATCAGCAGTAGCACGATACAAAAATATGAAAACAATAAAATGTGGATTTCCTTTTTCAGGGTGGAACTAGGGATACAGTCTTTATGGAATGTTTTTGTTATCCCTATAAAGGTTTTTTAAAGACCCCATGAAATCACAAGCATAGGATTCTGTCCTGCTTCAATCTTGTTGAAACAGGAAGTTACACTGACATTGTTTTATTAAGGTCAACAGCCTTTAGTTGAAGGCACAGACATGGCTGTTTGATATCAGTAGGTGGTAGGAGGACGACTGGCATGGTCTTTCTAGCAGCACTGGATGATATAGATTATTAAGATTTATATTGAATGTTGTCAATTGATTAAAATTATATTTGGTTATTTACTGTAAATGATGGTTAAACAAAAATGCTATTACAATACCTGCCTTAAAGAGATTAATTCATTGGCTTGTTCATTCATATATGTGACCCTGGACCACAAAGCCAGTCTTAAGTCGCTGGGGTATATTTGTTGCAATAGCCAAAAATACATTGTATGGGTCAAAATTATTGATTTTTCTTTTATGCCAAAAATCATTAGGATATTACGTAAAGATCATGTTCTATGAAGATATTTTGTAAATTTCCTACTGTAAATATATCAATTTTTTATAGTAATATGCATTGCTAAGGACTTCATTTGGACAACTTTAAAGGTGATTTTCTCAATATTTTGATTTTTTGGCACCCTCGGATTCCAGATTTTCAAATAGTTGTATCTCCTCCAAATATTGTCCTATCCTAACAATCCATACATCAATGGAAAGCGTATTTATTCAGCTTTCAGATGATGTATAAATCTCAATTTCGAAAAATTGACCCTTATGACTGGTTTTGTGGTCCAGGGTCACATATAAATTGAGGTTTCTTCTCGCAAGCAAGCAACGTTGAGCTTTTATATGAATAAAAAGCCTAAATTGAATCTGATGATGACAGAACTTCATGTTTGAGCGAACCATCGCTTTAACGATCTCATTCTCCCAAATTGCCAGTCAAAAAAGGATTGCAAAATCTAAAAATCTTATGGCTTTAGCAATATATATTCCAATAATGCTTAAATCATTGCAATATTCGCCATGTTTCTTAATTTTTCTAAATCACCACTGCAAATATTTAGGGAATATACTGAACATATTTGATATATCACACCCAAGAGAGCATTTAACTAAACAAAATTGTGGGCTAAGCTAACTAAAATCTACATGGCCTCGAATCTAACGGACATAGGCATATCCAACTTTTGATTTCATAGGGTCGTGAGCATAATATCTCTTCTGAAATCACAAAATACATGGATTTGATTAATTGTGCAAACTCCTGGGTATTGGTTAGTTAGAGAACACAAAGTACTGCAAGGTTTGAAATCAAGCATTCTTTTCCTTATAAAATCTGGGTCATCGTTGTCTGCACACTGAAGAAGGATTTACAATTAAGGTGTAGTGTCCAGTGCTTTTAACAAAGCCGCATTAGTCATGTTCTCCTTTTGCTTGAGAGACAAAGTCATGTCATGTCCTGCCAAACACAGGGCAGCAGGAGGAGTAACATTTCCATACATGCTGTGTGACTCAGGGGTTCTGGTGACAGGTGCTGTTCTAGAAACAAGAGCGATCTGGCTCTTCTTATACGGCCAGTGTAACTGAAGCCTCCATCACAGGGGGGCTAAATCTGGAGCAAAAGTCAACCCAAAGTCAACAACAGAGAATGAAAGACTTCAGGCCTTTAATTCGCCCATGATTTAACCCCCTTGATCTACTCAAACATCATGTAAGATGCTTGAGCCATGACTAATCCATGAAATCAAGACAAACATCGTGACCTTTCTGTGAGTTTGTTCAGCAAACAAGATCTATTTTTTGAGGCTGTAATCAACATAAACCTGATGAATACGTGACTCCTCCATTGCTGCAATGTTCCCATTTTATAATGGCTTTACTGGACAAAGCTCATCTGAACATTAACGGCCTGCCAATTCATATTTTGGATGCTGGGACACAAAGAAATGACATGCTCGCAATAGAAATGCTGATAACTCTAATACCCAAACTAGGGCTGTCAATTGATTCAAAATTATAAATGAATTATTTGCAGATATGCAGGTGAATTAATCAAATCAATATTTACCCAGAAAAGCCCCCAATTTAAGACAATTCAAACACATTACATTATTATAGCAGACGAAAGCCTTGAATGCAACCCTGTTCACCAACATTTGCTGATTTGTGTGCATTCCATATTTTGATGGGAAAAACATTAATTAAACATGATTAAAAATAAAACTTAAAATAGGAAATATTACATTTTTTTAATGCTTTATTGGGTAACAGGGTTGAAAAATAGCCTAAACTAAGCCGTCAGTCAGTAGCATTGTTATTGTTAACTTGAAACTAAAACTATTAAAAATATTTTCATTTTTAAAAAATAGAGCTAAAATAAAATAGAAACATTCAATGAAAATCTAAACTTAAACTTTACTTACCAAGCCAACACTTCTATTTTTTAAAGTAGAATTGCTAAAATTCTACATTCTAAAAAAAATGGTAAAAAACTAAAATGAAAACTAAAAATCTAAAATGAATAAAAAAGCCAGTTTGGGGCCAAATTGTATATA